TACTGTATACATACTATATATGTATGTATGTATACTGTATGTATGTATTATACATACATTGTATATATGTGTGTACTGTATTGTATGTATGACCATTGTATGTATGAGCAAATGTACATCGTTAGTAGATAAATTTTATTGAGGAAGTTTAGAATCATAATTTGACTTTTTTATTCAATGATTCTAAATATTTTTTTGAATTTTTATTTTTACTTTTTTTTTTACTATACTAAATAAGTTTTGACAAAATTAGTTTAGTAAATAATACATATTTTTTTCTCTATTGGCCAGTGGCAAACGTTGGTCAATAAAAAAACGTTGGTTTTTATTTTAATATATTCTATTTTTGCCGGAACAATGAATAAATAGGGGGAAGAGGTCCTAATAAATTTAGGTTGAGTAGGAAAATTTTCCAAAACTTATTTAACAGCAACTTCTGTGTATTAAGCACTTACAAGTACTACCTTATTTTGCCTTTCATTTTTATAATTGTTCATGTTTCATAAATGTTTTATAACTTACAAATTTAAGTTAATTTGACCACGTTTTTTTTTTTTTTGTTATGAAAAAACCTCTCCAGTTCTTTGTAACAACTTTAACTAAACTATTCAGGAAAAAGTTTGAATAATCATATCTTTGAAACCATTTGGAATATTGTTTGGAATTATTTCTTTAATTAATTAATCGATCTGGAATAAATCTAGGTGTGTCAGTCCATCTTCTTTACTTTTTGTAGGCGGTTTTGCTTCACTTTTTTATTAGCTGAATTTTGATATTCTTTTATTCAGCATCTGCTTTCATTATATAGTAAATAAAATAAGCCAGGTCTTGGTCAAAAATATCCAGATCAGAAAAATGATGTCACAAAGTAAGCAAGCAATTTTAATTCCTTTTGTGACAGATCTATAATTACTCTTTTGAAAACGGTATAAATTTGCCTTTGTAATACACTTAACTTCAATAGTTCATCTTTAATCCAAAAACTAACTAAAGCAAATATTTGTTCTCATTCGTTTTCATCAGGCGGTCAGAAAATAATTATTTTGTACTTCTTTGCTGCTAAAACAAACTAGTTTTGGTGTTCTTAAGTTATCTAGTTTACAGTCAAAGTAGTTTACAATCAATCCTGTATAAATTAGAATTAAAACAGTGGCCAGGTGAACTTAATTATGCAAAATAAAAGATTTTATCCCAGTATCTAGTAGCATAGTTCAAAGTAGACTAGTAGTATTTAGGTTAACACCATTTCAATTTTGTTATAGTAAATATAGTATTTTAGATTTCTATTCACATAAATAGGTGAGGTTTAAGCTAAATCACAGTTTAAATCTGCATTGTCTTTGGTACAATAATGTATATGGAATTAATATCAACAATCAATAAAATAAAAACCTAAGTAAATGAAAATTTCAAATAAAAAGCAAATCTGCTTTTGTCTAAATTTGATTTAAGATTTAATTTAAAACTTATAAGATTAATCACAGTTTAAGAGTTCACCATTTCAGTTTACTAAGCTACGAGAAAGTTAAGTTGTAGTAGTTATAAAAAATAAAAATAAAACAAAGTTACTGATCTAACAAACATAATGTTACTAAAGTATATTGTAACTAAGTAGAGAATAGATTTAATTTCACTATGTATTTATTCTGATATTGTCGTAATAATAATTGTATAAATAATTTTTATTGTGTAAAATATTACTCAATTTCCAAGTTATTTTCTAGTTATTCTGATTTTAAAATCACAAGGCACAGATTTTTTTTAGATGTTTTCAAGTTAGCTTACTTTTAATTTAGGTTTTTTTAAAACGCTTTTTTGTTCATCTACAAGTTATATGGCTTTTTTTTATGCACCAAAAAACAACTTGATGAAATTATTTATAAATTATCATTCTTTTCAAAGAAAAGCAGTTATTATTTTTATTAGTACTATTATTATTTGTAGTTTTCCTCAAGCAGAAATAAATACCTTTGTAAAGAAATTTTGTTTTTAAATTAACTTGTGTTTGCCTTGACCAGATCTCAATTTGTGTCTTAAATAAAAGTTTTGAATCTGATCACAAACCATCATTTGCAAAAGATAGCACAAGTGCATCATAGTTCAGATAAATTATTCTCAATGAATTTGAAGTTGAAATTTATTAATTTCATTTTTTTTAGCAATTAAGACAAAAGGTTATTTTATTGGATAAGGTTAGTTTATTAATTCAATTAGTAAAGCAATTTATGGACCATGAATTAATTTGGATATAAATTCTCATCCAACTTGAATTTATAGAGGATGCAAGACAAAATCATACTTTTGAACAGAATTGTAAGACCTTCAGTAAAGCTGTAGCTTTACTGATAGCCTAACTAGATGATTTGTATTTTGAATGATTGTTGTCAAAATAAAAAGTTAAGTAGAATGAAACAAGAAGATCTGCTCTTGTGGTATATGCTCCGTCGAACAAGGATAAATACATCCATTTTTTTATTGTTTTAATTTTCTATAAAAGCTTTGATCTTCAAAAAAATAATTAATTTTAATTATTTTTTTGAAGATCAAAGCTTTTATAGAAAATACTATTATTTTAAAATTAGTGAATTTTTTATACTTTTTATGCAAAAATTTTTTTTTTCTCAATCTCTTGTTTGTCACGTGTTTAACAAAAAAAAAAAAACGTCTCTAAGCAAAAATAAAATTAGGCAAAAGAAAGTTATTTTGTGAAAGATATGGTATATAACTGATATAAATATAAGATTACATAATATAAAGTTTATATAATATACTTATATAATATAAAGTTTATATATATAAACATAACAAGACAAATGTCTTGTTACGTTTATATAATGAGAAATTTTTTATAAAGTTAGTTATATTATTTAATTTTTATTCGGTTTATTGTTTATTTATATGTATACTGATATTAATTTACAAACTAATATATAATAATATGTATACTAATATTAATTAACACATTACAAATTCTGTTTAAAAAACATGCGTTTCACTATTTATTTATTTTTTTGTGGTTTTTTCATCAGGTTTATTATTACGTTATATTTAGATTACGCTAAGTTTAAATTACGTTTATAACGTCAGAAAAAATAACAGTAACTAAATTTTTTTTTATTACTTTTATTTTTCGTTTTATTTATTTCACATCATTATACTTAATAGAATTAATAGTTTATTTTCTTTATAAAATAATGTATAATTTATTATTCGACGTGTTATCAAGCTTAAAACGTGATCTAAACGTTTTTTTCTTTGTGAACTCACAAATACTTTCATTTTAAACGGTTGCGATAGTTACGATATAATTCTATAAAACTAAGCGGTTGATTTAAATTTTTTGTTCGAATTTGTGAAAAGATTTTTATAAAGTTCGATCATCGAGTTTTATGTATATAAAACCAAACGTTTTGTTTCTTTTGGAAAAAGTACGAAATTATTCTGTTACCATTGTTTATTAAACTTCACACTGGTAACAAATACTTTTAAAAATTTGTAAGTAAGTATTCTTCAGTTTTATATTCGTTTATTTGTTTTTATTAAAAAAGTTTATATTTTAAAACAAAATTTATATTGTTACAAAACCTTAACTTACGACAACTGTTTTTCGTGTAAATTTGATGATAATAAGTATTTTTTTATTGTTGATATATTAGTTAAATTATATTATAAATATACAAGATTAAGGTGCTAAAATGTGTAAACCTTTAAATTTAATGTAACATTTTTTATAATATTTTGATTTCTATCTTTAAGCTTATTTTTTTAAATATAATATAGCAAATAGATACGTGTTTTTATAATGTTCAAACTTTTTTTATATTTAATCTCTTGGAAATGCGATAATTGAGTTTGAAAGAGTGAGTTTTTTTTTATGGAAAGGTAAATCGAAAATAGATTTAGAATATTATAAATTAAGATTTAGAAAATATGTTAAAAAATAAATCAACTTGCCTTCAAAATGTTAGTGGTGCAAAAAAAAAAAATGCATATTTATAAACCTTGAAAAAAATTATTTTATGAAGTATAAGGTAAGACCTTCGTCACAAAAACTCTACGCTACAAAAAATATATTTTCATTGCGTAGAATTTATTGATTTACAAATTTTTTACTTTAAAAAATGTTTGGCATGCTTTAGTATGCAAAAAAACTAGTACAGTATGATAATGGTATGTAAGTACCTATGCCATACTAATTTTAAAACATACTGAGCTATTATTTAATTGCATTTTTACCCGTTTATTTTTAATCGTTCGTCTAAGTTTGATATTTTAGAAAAAACCTGTGTTTCTTTTGCAAAAAGTTTCAGAGAAATATGATTTACATGAAACAATTGTGAATGAGGAATTATTTACTTGTTTGCGTTGAAATGATTGTTTCATGGATTTAATTTTTACTTTTTAAAACAAAATGTCGTTTGATGTGATGTTATTGTAATTTTTAAATTCAATCGGTTTATCTTATGTTTGTTGCTTGTTTTTATATATTATATATATTACATTTTGTAGCTTTAATGATGAAATTATGTTGAATTTGATGTGTAAATGTCTCATAATTATGAATCTTTTATGTGTGTGAACAACCGTTGTAATTTTTGTTATGTTATTTTAAATATGTTTAATTTATAACTTATATTTAAATTATATTGTTTTAGAAATATGATAAATTAACAAAATTAAAAAATTGTTTTTTTTATTATATTTTATATTACATTTTTATATGTATTTATTTTTCATATGAATTATTTTATCTAAAGGTTTCACTTTTATTATTTTTTTATATCATTTTAATTTAATATAAATTTATGTATATAATATTATTGTATAAAATATAGTCTATTTAATAAAAATAAAAAATTGTATGTTTTTTATTCAATCATTAGTTAATAAAAATTATATGTATGAATATGTAAAATATTATAATGTATATAATGTTATAGTTTAGATTATTATTTTTATTATTTGTTCATTTTTATAATTAATATTTAATCTTATTTTAGATCGTCTAAGTAAAAGTGATAAAAGAAAAGATTACCATGATTTATTCATTGAATGTTTTTATGAAAGTCAATCATCATTTAATGATGAAATTAAATCAATTGTTTATAAACGAGAGTGGTGGATTTCGATTGACGATGGAAAAACTTCTTACTTAACTTCTTGCGAAAATTATTTCATAAATCATTACGTAAAATCTGGAAGAAAGTTATCGGGGTTACGTGTTGATAAAAATATTTTAAGTGATGAAGAAGAAAAACTTCTAATACAATGTTCAACTAATGTTCGCAATGTCAGATTTTATCGTTTTTTCGAAGGTTGGAAACCGAAAGATAAGATTGAAATTAAGATTGAAGTGTTGACGATATTGATCTCACTTTATTTAATAACAAAAAAAGATTTTGAAGAAAATTTTCTTCCGTGGATTAATCTTTGTGAAAACTTATATCTTAACCTTCACAAAAACATTGATTTTATTAATGAATTTTATGAATGGATTCGTTGTTCGAATGTCAAGAAGTTTGAGATCAAGTACCGTGGATATTCTTTTGAAAACCTCGATGAATTAAAAAACTTTACAACACGATAAAATATTTAATACCTTAAATATATTAAATAAAAACAATAACTATAAATAACTAATGAATTATTTAATGTATTATTTTATAATAAATACGTTTTTAAATATACAAATTAATTTTACTAGTTTATTAGATTTTTTTTTTTAATATTTAAAAGTTTAATTTTTTATTATTAAAATATTTTATAAATAATTCGTTTTCAAATATATTAATAGTTATAATTATGATATAAATTATTAAATATATTATTATAATATATAAATTTTCATATATATTATTATTAATAATAATATTATACTTGTAAAATTATAAATTACGTTACATGATTTATTGTTGTTTTTTTTAAATATTATATTTTCAGTTTTTAATTATTATGTTCTTAATATATAATTTTTTAAATAATATTGTTAATAAATATTTGTTTTAATAAATAATAAATGTTTGTTTAATATTTTATTTATATTAATTATTTTATGTTTTGTAATGTTTAAGAATTAAATTAAAAAATCTAAATATGCAAATTAAAATAAAATGTTAATTTTTTTTATTTTATTATCAATTTCTTTTCAAATAATATCGTATTTAAGATAAAGTCATAAGTTTTTAAGTTGATTGAATTTTGAATAAAACAACTTTTTTTATTAGATTTGCACTTTTTATACACCTTTTACACAAATTTATGTTTACAAAAAAATAACTTTTCAAGGTTTTCGCCATTGTTTCTTGAAGAGATCAACAAAATAAAAAAAGTCTTCGTCATCAAAAAAAAAATTCGATGGTTTAAGTAGAATTTTTCTTCGAAGATTTTTAGTTCGAAATTTCATATTTCATCTGACGTTTTTACTTAATTTTAAACCGACTTTAAATTTTACTTAAACGATCAAAATTTTTTATACAAAATGTTAATAAATATCGAAACAAATATTTTAAGTAAAAATACCTTTTTTTAAATGGTTTTCAATTTTTTTGTAAAAAGTTTTGTTCTCTCTCTCCATAAGTAGCAGTTTTAAACCGTGATTTTAATTACCGAAAACTATAATATTTAGAAAGTAGTAAAAGAACAATGGAAGAATTTAAACTTTTTAAGCTATTTTTAAGCTAAATTTAAACTTTTTAAGCTAGAAAGAATTAAATAAAAACCAACTAAACATTTAATCTTTTTTAGAAAAATTCAGTTTCAATAAACACCGCGTTTAAATGTTTCTAAAACCGCGAATGAAACTTTATTAAACGATCGTAATAAAAATAAGCAAAAAATAATTTGAGTACGCAAGTCTTGATTTTCAAAAGTTACGCGAACATTTTCAATGCCAAAGATGTTCTTATGTTACGTTAAGGCCATTTGTTAACAAAACTGCAGCTAGCAAGTACTGTGACAGTAAAACCACAACTTTTTTGAACAAATTTAGTTATGTTGAATAACAACAATATAAAAAAGTGAATACTTTTTTATAATTTAAATATAAAAAACTATTTTAATTCAAAAATCTTTAAAATTCTGTTTTTAATGTAAGAAAAATTCACGTTTTAAAATCTTTTTTAAATTTTGAAACTTATAAAAAAACATTAAAACAAACTATGTGGCTTAATGTATGGATATATTAAATTGCCGTTAACCAACCATGTCATGATTGTCGTTTATAATGGCACAGTGGCGGAACTTCAAAATTTGGGCCCCTCCCCCGCAAAAGAATGTTTTTTAGTAAGTAAACAAAAATAACTCTTGTAAACAAAATCAACTGTTGTTCATTTTTTAAAGGTTGTCGGTAAAATGCGAACCGCAAACTGCGGACCGGTAAAATGCGAACGAAAACATTATATTTTAAAGACCATTATTGTTAAGATAAAAATAATAATAAAAAAAACTCTCCAACTCTTAATTATTTATTTTAAAGCTTTATTTAAAATAAAATTTTTAGTTTTTAACTGTAAATCATGCGCGGAGTGTTGCTACATCGACTATCTTATAGCCTGATTCGCAATGGAGTGCTGCTACATCGACTAAGGGTTTGGTTTAGGCAGAGAGTCTATCAAATAATTAAAAAAAAAATTGTATTGTATTTTTCTATTTTCTCTCAGTTTCTTTTTATTTATTTTTAAATAATTTTTTCTCTTAAAAGTCCTTAAAATATATTAAAATATTCCGCTATTAAACATTACATTCTTCATGGCCTACTTAAATTACACGGCCTGATTTGTTGCATTTTCCATAAAAAATTAAGAGGCCAGTTTTTTTTACGGCTTAAGTATAAAAACTTAAATTTTGTTATGGTTAAGAGTCTTGTTTGCACTATAATTGTTTTATTTTTATTTTATTAAAATGGTTTAATATTAGTTAGATTTTCTTTGATTACTTAAATTATTTTGTGCTAGATTTTCTGTTAACTGATTGCCTGCTTCAGTTTATTCCAATAACAAAGAATACTGAAATAGGCTTTCAGATAGCTATATCAACACATATTAACATGCTACTAAAAATAATCTTACATATTGCTAAAACTACCCACAACTCTCCATTGGAAATAATTTTAAAGGTTTGTAATTTTGTATTTATTATAATTGCAATTATTAAGTAGAAAACATAAACTTTTCTTTAAATTATTTACACTGCAAAACAAGGTTTTGCATTGTAAATACTTTATTATGCTGCATGTCTCAAACATACAGCAATTAAAATGTAACAAATCAGGCTATTTATTTACAGTAACCAAGAAATATCAGGCATACCAACTGTTTTGGAGTCAATAGCTGTTAATAAAATTCTATTTTTTTTCATTGCCAAATAAATGGTTATCATTCTTCTTTATTTAAATGGTTTCGCAGTGGTAAAAAATACAAATTGAAAAACTATAATATATTAGAAAAATCATTGACAAAAATTTGGTATTAAGTGATTATTTGCTTCTTGTGGGTAAGGTGTACTTCCAAAAAGCAGCCCAAAGTGGTAAACATTTTGATGAAGATTGAGAAAACAATCTTTATAAAGAATTTGTTTTTGTTATTATGGTTGTAGGGCTTCAAAAATTTATTTTTATGTTTTAAAATCATAACCTAAAGTTTACATAACAGGTTTATGTTTGAAAAAAGAAATTGACGAGTGTATTACCTCAATGCACCAATCTGAATTTAAGATAAGAACTGTTGTTACCGATAACCATTTTACAAATGTTAATGCATTTTTATAGTTTCATAAAGCATATACTGGAGATGGAAAATTATTAATTTATCATTTAGTTTAGAAAAGGAGTGTTTAAAATATACTTGTTATTTGATAAACTCGGTTTTTATTTTTTTCTTCTTGTTGAAGTTACTGCTGATTACATACTCATACAACCTTCAACTTTTTAAGTCTTCTGTCAACCGTTTCCTTGCTCTATAACTCTGTTCTTTTTTTTCCTAGTAACTCCCAACTTAATAGTGGTTGCTTGCAGCCTTGTTGGGAGTGAATGCAAATAAAAAAAAAAGAAAAACATTGCAGGGAATATATTTTTTAAATTTTATTAAAAGATCACTTATTAAACAAGCAAGAAAAAGCAAGAAAAATTAATTATTAAATCACATATTTTGGCAACAACAAACAAGTTGTCAACATCGACAATATTTGACAAAACAACTGCAGCTACAACTGGAATAACTACGTTATTTCTTTTCTGAAAGAAATAACACAGCACAATTATCATTGTTTTATAAGTTATTCATCATACTTAATTCAAAGCAGAAACTTAATTCATCTAATCAAACTCAGCAATGCTGCTTTGAAAGGTGATAACAAACCCACACTTTATAGAGAAATTGCAAATTGTACTGAAATTTGATCAAAATAAAATTTGATAAATACCTGACATTAACCAAACAAACTTCTTGTGCACTAATTACAACACTACACGCAATTGTATTTCTTATGCATGATTTCCTTGAAAAAGGCTTTACATTTGTTTATAGTTAATTTACAAAAAGATCCTTTGGAGCTAGGTTTTATTAAGTATAGTTAAATGCCCAATAGTAGACTTTTTGTGAGCCTTTTAGAAATGGGCATAAGTAAAAAGATTTTGGCAGATTTTCCCAGAAAATATTTACCAGAATTTTGATAATCCTTAAAAAATATTATGCAAGATATTGCTTAGTTGTCTACATAAATACTACTGTCAGCTTTCTGAAGATAGCACAAATATATAAAAGATATATTCTATTCTGAAGATAGCACAAATATACTAAAGCAAGTAATAATCGTAAAAATTAACAAAAAGATTTTGATGTTAAACTTATGATCAATAAACATTACTTTATAAAGAGAAGAACCTATATATTCAATTCAACCTCTGTCTAATTTTATTTGTCATCTTTTTAGTATTTTATGTTATTTCTCTTATTCTAATAAAACATTGCAGTCATTCTTTTTTAATTAAAAATTTGCGAAACAAATTTTAAAGATTTGATCTAGCAGTTTCATTTTTACAAATAAAAACCACCAAAAATGGGAATCAAATATAGATCTCGTATTGTATTGCAAATTAATATAAAAATATTATTATATTTTTTATAGTAATTTGCAGAAAAAAATTACATATTTATTTAAAAAAGATCAAGTAAAAGAATTTCAAAAAAGACAAAATAAACATTTCTAGCAAAAATGTATTTCTTCTTTTTATTTCAATTATATAAATTACAAAACTACAAACCTTTTTTTTGCTCAATGGAGAGTTTTAGGCAATCTAAGCAACATGAGAGATTATTTTTAGTAGCATGTTGGTATGGGTTGATATAGTTATCTGAAAGCCTATTTCAGTATTCTGTGTTGTTGGAATAAACTGAAGCAGGCAATCAGTTAACAGAAAATCTAGCAACAAATTCATGTAAGTACTCAAAGAAAATCTAACTATTATTAAACCATTTTAATAAAATAAAAGTAAAACAGTAATGGTGCAAACAAGACTCTTAACCATAACAAAAATTAAGTTTTTATACTTAAACCGTAAAAAAACTGGCCTCTTAATTTTTTACGGAAAATGCAACAAATCAGGCCGTGTAATTTAAGTAGGCCATGCATTATTAACAA